CCCCCCCTGCCCCCCCCCCCAAAAAAACGATCGTATTCCTCATAAATTTTCCATACCATATTTTTAATACTACGAGACCAGAACGAGGATCTGCAACGAGAACGTATATGACGCTTTGGGATTTACCGTGAGATCGTGCGCGTAAATGGATATGAAAAATCAGCCAAGGATAGAATGGAATTGTTCGAACAATGAGATGACGCAATGAGAGCCAGCTACGGACTCAAGACGGTACCGACTCTCTGCATGCACGACAGCTACACCCGGGTATTGCTCGCAGTCATACCTGATGCTGTATCCGTTTAATAAGCCTGTCGTCCGTCGACAACCCTCTTGGCCCCTGCCCGGCAAACACGTTCCTATAGATTCAGGTCGAAGGACGCCGAGCGTCGTCGTAGCCGTTCAACGTCGTCCGGTACGACGAAATTTCCCCGAAATTCCTAAATTTCAGATGGACCAACCGATCCGTTCAGCCGGATTCTTTTTTTTCGGTTTCGCATCTCCTCTCTACCTTATCCGGAAGTCGAGAGTCGCCTATGAACAAAGACCTACGGCCGAATGTCTACACACGTTACACGTGTCCCCTCTGGTCATTTCTACCTCGCTCGGACGGAAGAGTCGCCAATTTTCACGCTGCGCGACCATTCGCGGCTTCCCGTGGGCACAATCGATTTGCAAGGTCTATCGGCTGAAGGTTCTCAACCTGAAGTTGCAATTGCGCAATCGACTGTGCACGGAGCCGCAGTGAAAAAAAAATTACGTATTCGAATTTGTCAAAAAGTAAACAACTGTACGTGAAAAAGTTAAATGGGTACCGATAGACATTTTCATCTCGAGTATAGTTATAGCCATGTGGAGACTCCATGGACCACCCTGATTAAATTCGATCTGGTCGTCACGCAAGAAAATCGATCAGCCACGGCGAAGAATTGAAAACAGCTAGAAACAAGAAAAATCCCAATATCAGCATCCGACACCCGAGCAACATACGATTCCTCGTATCTGCGCTATAGGAGCTCCACGGCGACCCGAAGTGAAACCGAACATTGCCGAGCGGCCCCGAGCAATTCCCGTACCGTCCAATTGCGGGGGGGTTCAATAAGACATAAAATAATACCCAACGTCATTACTGCATTCTGGAGACGCAACGAGGAGTGACGCACCGAGCATCGCGTCTCGTCTCATCCCGCGTCGGTCCAGACGACGCAATTAAGAAATCTCGCAGATTCCCGGTAGTCGCCGCACTCTTGGATGTAGGTAATTAAGGAATCGACAGGCCTGGGCCTCAATTCGCAAGGCACGTCACTGGTCTTCCTGCACGCCCTAGCAGCGCGTCCCAGAATGCACTCGGGTATTGACTGTACGTAGGCACTACGTCATCGGCGTCATCCATCAACCTCATCCATACTTAAGATAAACGATACGCGCGCCCTATGAAAAATGATTTCCTTCGGCAGTGACTTCGGGTCCGCTCGGTCATCTTCGGCGATCATCGGAATCGTTCGCGACGTTAAAAGCGACGTGCGGTTTAATGAGACTGCCCGTGCATCGACCTGGGCTGCAGTCGAGTCGCTTCAGGTTGATCGGTTTATTTATTAATGCATTTACTTAATCGTCCCTGCATTGAACCTTGGTTTATCCTCTACGTTATTCCGACGTCCTACTACGGAGCAGCTACGGTAGGACGCACTGTACCACAGGCCCCCCCCGTGCGCGCTGTGCAATACTCAAGTACGAAATAAGTAGGTATGCAAGTATTGTGTACGGGGGGTGCGCGGGGACAGTTGGCGGGACTTTGTAGTTGCCGCGACGTGACGCAACTGCCAACTTGGGGAAAAGGTTCTCGGTATTACGAGGATACGAGGAGGGGGGCGAAGAAGGCTTAAGGAGGGATTGTGTCTCTTCTTTACGGAATATCCCTTTTCGTTTCGCCTCCCTGGTCCTCGTCCGGCGCACACGATTTCCTCATTTTTCAGAACCCTTGTACCAAAGAGACCAATGCCACGGCGCGTCGCGCTCAGCCGCCTTACGTGCTACGACGGACGAACGTATCCAGACGGTCAACGACTCTTTTCGGAATTATGCAATTGGCCAAATTTGTCGAATTAACCGAGCTGAGACGCCTGGCATCGCGGCGGCCCTCTTTCAGCGCGCGTCGCGAGCGACGGCATCGGCCCTGAGGATTTTGCGAGGCTTATCTACGTATTTACCCTGTGACGTCTATCTCCCTGGTACGGAAGAACTCGTTCGGCCGTGGCGCTATGCGGGAAATAGTCGAGCTTTAAATAAACTCGGTGGAACTTTGCGCGATGGGTACTTGACGCCGGCAGCGCTCGAACCCAATTTGAATACAATAAGCGGCTTCAATGGGAACCGTCGCTTAAGTCTGCGGGTGTCCGAAAGTGCGAGATGGACAAGGAGAGAGGAAGGCTGTGGGTCAGAGAGAGAGAGAGAGAGATGGAACGAGGGTGGTATTAATGATGATGGGGATTGCCATGGCGAATGGTGGTTGGAGGTTCCGTGATAAAACGATGGGATACGTAGGAGGCGGTGGATCCGAATGCAGATTGATGCGATCACACACGGTGCAACTGCACACTACCTGCATACGGGATACCCGACTGTCGAGGGGTCAATGAATGAAAGATCGAATCAAAGGACACGTCGCGTAGGAGCGTCCGCTCGAATTTTACTATCGATCGATCGTGACCCGATCGAGGTTCGATTTCTGTGTCGTAATCGTCGAGGAGTATGGATTGCGCGTGGAAAAAAATTTACCGATTAAATTTTTTCCATTTTTCATTTTTCATTACCGATCAGGAAAAATTAAAAATATTTTTCATTAACGCTATAAGAGACTGTAGAACCCATGGTTATTCGGGAAAAAAAAAAAATTCAAATCTTTCGATCCGATCGTAGAACGACCGGTAGTCTGCCGAGGGCGCGAATCTCCCAGGGAATATCAATTGGAAAGTCGGCTTTACGTTTGTTCCGAGTAAAGCGATTTTATAGCTTCCTTAAGGTGTCTTCCACACAGTCCGACAAAATTCCAAGGAACGTCACCGAGACGGGACGAGAATCGTCTACGATCGAATATTATAGATCGTTAATTGGCACCAGACGAGTATCGAATTCTGCCGCTGGATGGACCCACAAAGATACGACTCGAGTACATATATTCTCCGGGTAAGGTTATGGCGGCGAAAAAAAACATTTGTCAAAGTAAAGGGCGAAACGCGTTGAATTTCGATCTGGCGGAAGTATAATGCACGATCGTTTGTGAATCGCGTTACGATTGTAATCGGCTTCTTATGTAGACGCGAGCTTTGCTCTTCCTGAGGTTGCTCCTACAGCCACGTGACTCTGGCACTGAGGCTCGGCCGATGTGTTGGAATAGGCAAAAGTCCTTTTTTTCTCACGGGACGAAAAGTCTAGAGCGACGGCTGCCGTATTGACCAGACGCCTTGATCCTGGTACCCGTAGCAATTTGGAACGGTAATACGGAGATCGAATGACAAAATTCGCACGTGCCTGACAGCCCATGGATTGCGCGAACGACCGCTGGTACAAGACTGAGAGAGAGAGAGAGAGAGAGAGAGAGAGAAAAAGAGAGGACCGAAAGACAGATTCAGCGAGAAGATCAGCCGCGTGCAAGAAGCTCCTAAAATTATGCGGCTTATCGGGGCAATCGGAGCACGGATATGTACGGTTCCTGGTAGCGCTATGTTTACCGAGTGGCAGAGGACCACGATTGAGATCATATCGGTGAGGACAGGGCGCCACTGTACCCGAGATACATCCCAGAACCATTTACGAGCGATGCCCGAGCGACGTCTGGCGTCTCCGTGTAACAAACGGCGGCCTCGTAATTTTTACGTCGGATGTGACCGCGCACGGTCCAGAATTACGGAATGGCGAACCAAAGATCAAGACGAATGGTCCCGAGCATACTATGAACCTGTTAGATCAAAATTGAAAAAAAAAAAAAAATCAAAATTCATCAAAAAGTGAGAGCGTAACGGTAAACCGGAAAACCTTGAATATAAATCAACACGAAAGATACAGCACGAGAGTACGGATGCTGGGATAACGAGAATTGAGACGATCCCGCGACGCACGTATCGGTTAAAGGAAACGCCGTGCGATATGCAAAGGCATATACAGGGGTGAAAAAAAAATGAAAAAAAAAAAAAAAAAAAAAAAATAA